TGTGTGTGTGTGTGTGTGTGTGTGTGTGTGTGTGTGTGTGTGTGTGTGTGTCTGTATGTGTTGTGATACACACGCCCACACATTCTTTACCCCCGAGGTACTGACACACATAAAACTGACCCTTACAAGTTTCACATCCTGAACTAAACTACAGTAAAGTTATAGTTAATGTTTCGTGTGTACTGAACATTCAAAGTTTGAGTTAGGCCAGCAATGGCAGATAAGAATTTCTAAAAACCTCAACAACAACAGCAACAACAATAACAACAACACAAACAACAGCAACAACGGCAAGATTTAAGTAATAGGGTCTAGTGAAAAAAAAAGTCCTTTTCAAGAAAGAAACGGATGGTAATTTCAAAATATAACCTAAACGCCACCCCCTTCCCCCCCCAAAAAAGACCAAAAAAACCAAACAAAACCAAACCCCAAACCCCAAACAAACGAACACAAATTAAAACCCAGTGTATCAGCCCTTGGCGCGGTGGCGGAGCGGTTAGTGCACTCGTCTCCGAAGTGGAAAGTCCGGGTTTGAGCCTCGGTTCGGACACTGATTCTTTTCGCCCCCTCCTGCCCACCCAGCAGTGATGGGTACCTGACTTCGAGTTGGGGAAGTAAAGGCGGCATGGAAAGGGACTGGCCACCCTACCACAATATGCCGAAGGCCCAGGAAGTTGTCTCACTAACAAGGCAATCCCCAATGTCCGGATCGGATGCGGGAACTACCTTTAACTTTCATATACTAAAAATCCAAATACTCTAACAGATTCTGTAAGCTAGACAAACAAGCTCTCGAACTTTCAATCCTAGGGTCATGGGTTCGAATCCCATCAGCGGCCGAACGTTGTGTCCTTGGAAAAGGCACTTTAAAAGAAGTTTCCTCATTTTACCCAGGTGAAAATGGGTACAAGGCCAGAGACAGCGAAAGATCTTGTCAGTTTGTTAGTGTTTGAGCACGTGCAATCCGCAGCTTGCACTGTATACTTCTTCTGAAGTTGAAAATATTTTGAGCATTCTAGGGTCTGCTCGGGTAATACTGGTTGTAAAGCGTATAGAGCATGCTTTAGAGCATAGATATGTGCTTCGTATAAATTCAATGATTAATTCTTGTTCTTCTTCTTGTTGTTGTTGTTGTTGTTGTTGTTGTTGTTGTTGTTGTTGTTCTTCTTCTTCTTCTTCTTCTTCTTCTTCTTCTTCTTCTTCTTCTTCTTCTT